CCGCAGGTGTGGGATCGCTGTCAGGCAGCACCCCAGCCTCCCACCTCTGTGTTTTCTCAGCTCCTCCAGAGCTGCCCGCCAGTTCTAGGCTCACTTTGCTTCTCTGCTCATGCGGTGAGCAGTGTGTCCCCCACATGTTGTGTCTGCATCAGTCTCTTCTTTTTTATAAGATGTATTTATTGATGCACACAGAACTGGGGTGCAGGCCAGAGGTGCAGGGGTGGTGAGAGGATTCACCAGAGAAAGAGTGGGGAGCAGAACAGGCAGGTTGATGCAGTGCACTGCTGAGGGGAGCAGCAGGGAGACAGGAGAGGTCTGCGCGCCATGAGGGTCACTCCCTGGCCAGGGATCAAACCTGTGCTGAGGTGGCTTTGGGCTTTGGCTAGCTTCCCAGTGCTGCGCTCTAACCCATTACACCACCAGGGAGGGCCCCTGTGCACCAGTCTTGTTCCTCTCCAAGTAGAGCCAGAAGTCTAGAATACTGAATGGCTGCTTTCTCCCATTGGTCCTGTGGCTGCTCTTCATGGTGAATGTGTGGGGCAGAAGACCTGGGCTCAAGCCTGAGGAGTTTGTCCACTCACTTCCCGGTGCCAGGCTCAAGTTCACAGAGACGCTGATGCTCCACTGTGGGTGCTGTGTGTGCCATGGCATTGTGAATGTGACCGTTGGAAGTCTGACACGGCCAGAGTGGGGATGCGTGGAGGGGCCCCAGGGAACGCAGCCCAAATGGCTCAGGCATGTGGATCTGGGGTGCTTGTGCCCACTCACTGCCTGTAAGTATAATCAGAGCAGAGTGAGCCTGGACGGGGGCAGGCACATTTCCCCAGGGTTAAATATAATACAAGGGGAATACTGGCCAAACACGGCTGTGCAGTTTCTAGAGGAGCCACCACCGGAGGGAGAGACGTCAAAACCCGGCAGGGGCAGGATTGCTGGCAGGAAGGCCCCAGGGAACTTTCTGCAAGGCCAGTGGTGTTCTGAGGCCAGATTAAACGCTCACTCCTGTGGCGGTCTCGTGACCACAGATCACTGTTCCGCTGTGTCTCACTCAGCGCTCGCACGGGTGGAGGTGCAGTGTGGGGGTGGGCTTCCAGCCAGCCTCCCCTAGAAGAGGGCCAGCGTAGCCCCTCATGAAACAGTCAGTGAGTGCCTGCCGAGGCCTGAGTCACGAGGGAGGGGCATGGCCACCAACCAGGGAGACTTGGCCAGACAAACTAGTAGATCGTGCTGGGTGGGGCTCGGGAGAGGGGTGTGAGGCAGCATCTGAGAGACCAGGAACCAGTCTCACAAAGAGCCGAGTGGTATCCACTGGGCAACAGGCAGGAAACCAAGCAGTGGCCTCGCCCACTGCGTCTCACCTGGTAGGCGCGCCCAGCAGGCCACCTCACCGTGCCTCGGCAGCAGGCTCTGTGGGTCAGGAGCACCGGGCACCTGGACTGGGGCAGAGCCCCGGAGGGCGCTCCCGCTTGGGCAGAGCCAAGGGAGGACCGGCGCAGGTTCACAACGGCACCCACTGTGGGGCCCACTGCCAGTGACTCGGGCTCTGAGTAGCTGGGTGGGGCCCAGGAGTCATGGATTCCACACCACCTTGGTCATGGCCCTTTAGGAGAGTGGACAGTGGCCATCCACCTTCTGCCGGTCCAGCCAGTAGGGACAGCCCCCGCACTAAGAGCTGGGTGCGTGGCTGACCAGCAGATGTGGACAGGAGCATGGACTGTGATCTTAGCCGCAGCTTCTGTACACAGCGTGGGGGACAGTCGGACTATAGTGAGCACCAGGCTGAGGCGGGTGGGAGGTGAGCTCTAATTGGGGTACAGACATGTTATGTCCGCAACCACCTCTGCCACTCCCTGGGCCTGAAAACCTGCATGCAGCCTCCCAACAGGACTGCAATGTTGCGTCCGTCCGGCCTCAGACAGGACCCTCCCACTGCTGCCATCAGCAGGGGCCCAGCTGCCGAGCAGCCAGAGTTGGCTGCTTAGTGACAGTGGCCCTCAGCCCCTGGAAAGGGCCACGCAGGTGGGGCCCAGTCTGTACCTTCAGGGGAGCCCCCACCCCAGCAGGACCGTGTCCCTCCTCCACCACTGTCTGTAGTCCACAGGTACTTTTTTGGTTTTCTCCTTTTCTCTTCAGTTTCTTATAGTTCTTTTGTCTGCTTATGTTGGTGCCAAGACTGTGAGATTTGGAGAGAAGGGACATGGTGGCCGTTAGCTGCCTCCAAGCTACTTGATCTCGGCGCTTCAGAATGGGGTAGAGTGAGGTAGGGATGGGGCTTGAGTGGTCCCCTCAGCTTCCGAGGTGCCTGAGAGCAAGGATGGTTGGGAGACCTGGCCCTTCTGGGCCCTGAGGAACTGTCAGGGGCTCAGGAAGGCCTAGTTCCAGATTCCCGGGGGGCAGATCTCCTGGGAGGGCCCAGACGCATTACAGAATCTGCCCCTAGGAGAAGAATTTGGTCTCCACTCGCAGGTGCCAGGGCCTGCCCTTCCCTCGGCTTTGCACACTGGCACTTCAGCACCCTCCTGGTCCATCAGAATCCTTGTCATGTCAGGCAGCAGGCTCATTTCCTCCTCTAGCAACCACTGAATTTGAGAATGTCCTGTTTTACCATAGTGAAAAGAAGTGAAACTTTTCTGTGAAATAATAACACCCCAAAATCACCTCTGGAGAGACCAAGGTCTTTCCCTCTAAGTTGTGAGCAGAAATGAGAGCGCACCCCTGCCTCTCCTGCGAAGTTTGGCACCCCCTGAAAGACACCTTTAGAGGTGCACTGGAGCATTGCCCCGGCCCCGCTGCAGAGGGAGAGCCCTGTGCCCCGGCGCGGCGAGCTGAGAATCACTGACCCCAGGGCTCGTGGTTCTGTTCCCTCCTGGTCTTGGGAGGAGGCTGGGGATAAAGGTGACGTGGCTGCGCCTGCCCTGGAGTTCTAGAACGTCCCCGTAGGTGGGAAATGACAGTGGTCAGAGGTGTGGACAGCACAAGTGGACAAGTGGCCTGTGCTGACGTGTCTGAGCACGTGCTCAGACAGCAGCTCACAGAAGCCTCCCACGGCTCTGTGGGTGCACACTCTCCCGCACCAGAGGGAGGGACCAAGAGGCCCACCTTTTGCCAGAGACCACCGGTGGGAGACAGTAGACCCTGCCTGGCACCCTGGTAGTCCAGTGTTTCTTCAGGCAGGCAGAGGCCACTCCTGGCCACCAGGACATTGAGGGCAAGCACGTTTGTGTGTAGGCCAGGATTAAATGTGAGGCATTAAATATGCCAGATTGCTGCTGAGGTGTATGCATGCTTGCGTGGGGGCAGGCCTCCTGTCCTGCTCTTCAGACACTGGCCCCCATGGGGCCCCACCGAAGGGCCGCCTCTGTTGGCCTGCTTGTCTCGCAGACATGCCTAGTGTGTTTTGGGGAGGAGCCAGACCCAGTGGTCCACAAGTGTTTCCTGGAAAGGCAAGAATTTGACAGAGAAAGAGGCGTCAGCTCTGTACCCCAATGCCTGGTAAAGGGACTCTAGGGAACCTCATCATAGCTGGCTGAATCATGGCACCGTGAGTGGCCACCTCAGCCCCAGGAGGGGATGTCACTTAGCTGTGGTTGGCCAGGGGCAGGTGTGGGCACTCAGCCCAACTGGAAGGCGTGGCTGGGAGGACGTGAAGAAGCGCCCGCTGCCCTGGTGTGAAGGGGTGAGCCGGCCCGGTCAGGTGGGCCCGGGAGCCTGTAATGCGGGTGCCACCGCCTCCCGTAGGCCCAAGGAGTCGCCTTCTCCAGGGAATTGTTAGAGGACAGCGCTTTGCGTGTCGTACTCACAGCTGAAGCTCTGGGCACCAGCGGCTCTTTCGAGCAGCCTGCCTAGAGCTGCCGCTCCGCTCGCTGGCATCCTGGTCCCCACAGCTGGAGCAGTCATAGACCTGTCACATGCAGCCTGAAGGTGACCCAGGGCAGTGGGTTGCGCGCTCAGTCCCCGAGAGTGGCTGTCCCTGTAACGCCCTGGCGCCTCCCTCCAGCGCAGAGAGCGGCGCCTGTCACATCTCCACGCTGCCTCATTTATAACTTCTCACGTGCGCACAGAGGGCAGCGGTGGCTGAGGCGAGATGAGCGGTCTGTCCCGGGCCATCCTTGCTGAGCGTGGCCGAGTCTTACCCGCCTGGCCTCCTGCGCAGCTCCCCTGGCCTCCACGTGCCCTCCCAGGGCCTGCCTTAGCGTGCTGCAGGCCCGGGGCGCGTCCCGCCCTGCCACGTCCCTTGGAGCCCTGAGGTCACAAGCAGATTGGCCTCCGGTCTCTGGGTTGCCCTTTGCAGCTCTGGAATTTCCTCATGTTCCACACCCGGTGCCAAGGTGTGATCTGTGAAATGAGTGTCTCCCTGCGTCCCCTCTGGGCTGGGCGCCTTTCTGCCTCAGTGAGCGCAGAGGGAAGAGAGCATCTCAGTGCTTGTCGCTGCTCCAGACCTTGTAAAACGCACGTCCTCTGTGTGCAGGCAGGGGTGGGTTCCCGAGAGCAGGTACAGACCCCAGGCCAGGGTGAGGGGTGCAGCTTCCTCGCTTCGGCTCCCCTCATGGCCTTTGGCTGGTGTTAGCACTACCAAGTGTCAGCAGTTTGTTTTAAAGAAAGCGAGCACATTTGAGAATGATAGGAGCAGGTCCCCAAACCTGTATTTGCAGGAGCATTGCAGGCACAGGCAGAATCGGCGTCCTCTGCAGCTCTCCTGCCCTCACCCTCACGCCAGGGCTGGCGGCCTCACTGTGTCCACAGCTCACACCGTCTGTAACCCGCAGTAGTTTTTCCCAGGGCATCGGAATGCCCTGCTACTGGGGTGAACCCCCACCTGGGAAGCTCCCGCCTGGGGGCAGGCCCCCTCCCTTTCCAGGGCAGCTCAGAGGTGGGGTCCTCCGCCACCTCTGGATTGCAGCCTCCCGGGCTCTTGCCAGTGGCCAGGGGGAAGCCATCTTGGGTGTCCTGACCCCTAGACCTCTTTCTGAGGCTCACGCTCTTCTCCCTCTGTCCTGCAGCTGGTCAGTGAGAAGGTTGGAGGGGCTGAAGGGACCAAGCTTGACGATGACTTCAAAGAGATGGAGAAGGTGAGGGGAGTGTCTACCCGCTGGTGCCCTCTCGTGAGCCCGTGTGTGTCCAGCTCTGACACTGAGTGGGGGGAAGAGGGGCTGAGGGTAGGGAACGGCCACAAGATAGGCTAGGTGCGCACCCCAAGAAGCAGCGAGTAGCCCTTGTGGGGCTCTGGCAGGTGGTGGGTGGGGAGCAGGACCTTCTCCCACACAAGGACTACCCAGGCCATACACCTGGTTTGGCCTCAGGCACCACCATATTGACAAAGTCCCACAAGTCGCCTCTTTGCAGAAGGTGGACGTTACCAGCAAGGCTGTCACAGAAGTGCTGGCCAGGACCATTGAGTACCTGCAGCCCAACCCAGGTAAGGGGTGCCAGCAGCCACACAGCCTCCGTGTGCATTTGGGGACCTTCCTAAGGTCAGGGCATGAGAGGGGACGTATGTGCTCCGGGACCAAAACGCCCAGCGGTGGACACGTTCAGGCATGGCCAGTTCAGGAGTCCGGAGCTTGGCCTGCGGTCATACTTTCCTTTCCACCTTATCTGTCAGCTCATTCCTCATTCCAGCCCTAGGCTTCATTGAGCCCTCAGCCAAAGGTCCCACAGAGAAAGCATTTTCCTCAGCCAACCCACTCGGCCAGTTTGCTCGTCCCCAGTGTGCCACGCCGTATGGTTCCTCCTGGAGCACACAGGGATTCTCCTGGGCTGAGTGGAGGGAGGGCCTTTCCCTGAGGAAATTCTCAGTGCTGGTTTCTGTGGCAAGAGGTGATAGCATAACACGCAGGACCCCAGCTGTGTCCACTCATGCCTGTGTCAGGGTCAGACTTGAGAAGCAGAGGTACAGCTCCTTGCCCACCAGGGCAGAGCTGCCTCTCTTGGGCATTCCTCCCCAGGCCCAGGAGAGGTGGTTTTCATCAGAGGGCAGACCCTGGGGGCCCTTGGTACCATGCTGGGTGCCCAGATCAGGAGTGCTCCCTCTCCCAGACCACTGCTCTCTGCATCATGACCAGCAGGAGCGCACCAGGGTGTCTCCTCATGGCTTGGCCCTGGGCAGGTGCAAAAAGTGAGGTTCCCTGGGCTGAAAGAATGCTCTAGAAACAAGCAGGTATCAGAGGGTAAGGTCTAGTGGTGCAGGAGACTTGGGGGTTGATGCTCACGTCCACCTGCTCTGTTCCAGCCTCACGGGCCAAGCTGACGATGCTCAACACGGTGTCTAAGATCCGAGGGCAGGTGAAGAATCCCGGCTACCCACAGTCAGAGGGCCTCCTGGGCGAGTGCATGATCCGCCATGGGAAGGAGCTGGGCGGCGAGTCCAACTTTGGTGAGAGTCAGGGAGGCCGGGGTAGGGGGGAAGGGTGAGACCCAGGGGGTGACAGGCTGATGCTTCCCTCCCTTAATTTCAGAATCTTCTCCAGGACTGGTTAGGCTCTTGGGGACAGCCAAGGTTCCCTCTGGCCCGTGAGGGTTGAGGAAGGATCTTGAGTGGCCCCCCTCACCCTGGCTAGTTGGGCACAAGCCCGCCCCACCTGCGAGTGTGGGGCTGGCTTCTGAATGCAGCACCAGCAACACCTGCCCTTCTTTGGCTATAGTTCAGACCTGATGGTCCCTTGTGTTCTGAGTTCTGGGCCCTTGGCCAGGAGTACAGAGGCCTCACAGCCCCTAGGCTGGGCCTCCAGTCAGCTTCTCCCCGCCCTCCTGCAGGTGACGCCCTGCTAGATGCCGGGGAATCCATGAAGCGCCTGGCAGAGGTGAAGGACTCCCTGGATATTGAGGTCAAGCAGAACTTCATTGACCCCCTCCAGAATCTGTGTGACAAAGACCTGAAGGAGATCCAGGTACCCTCCCTCGGGCCCCCGCCCCCGCCCCAGCGTCCCTGGCTGAGAGGGTAAGCTCCCTGTGCCCACATGTGCATGTTTGCAGCCGAGCCCGGGGTAGGTTTCCCAGCGCGGAGGCCTTACGCCAAGGCCCTGACCCCAGCGTGACTCCTCTCCCCACCTCCCAGCACCACCTGAAGAAGCTGGAGGGCCGGCGGCTGGACTTCGACTACAAGAAGAAGCGGCAGGGCAAGATCCCCGACGAGGAGCTGCGCCAGGCTATGGAGAAGTTCGAGGAGTCCAAGGAGGTGGCCGAAACAAGCATGCACAACCTCCTGGAAACCGACGTACGCTCGGGGCCGGGGCCTCCCCTCCCACAGTGGCCCCGGGAGAGCCCTGGGGTGGGGGCCGGGGTGGGTCCGAGCTGGGCGCCAGCTTCCTCAGGCTGTAATTGCCTGTTCAGGAGACCAGGCAGCCTCTTGAGGCTTGGGGTCTCCTCTGGGGCTCTGCTGGGGCTGGTGCAGGGCCCCAGCACCAGGTCAGGCAGACAGGCCGGTCCTGCGGCTGGACAAGCCCAGGAGATGCCCTGCTGGAGGCAGCCCCTCGGCCCTCTGCTCGCCCGCAGGTCGAGCAGGTGAGCCAGCTCTCTGCCCTGGGGAGGCAGCCCCTCAGCCCTCTGCTCGCCCGCAGGTTGAGCAGGTGAGCCAGCTCTCAGCCCTGGTGGACGCCCAGCTGGACTACCACCGGCAGGCCGTGCAGATCCTGGACGAGCTGGCCGACAAGCTCAAGCGGAGGTGAGCCCCGGGCCCTGCCTTCTCGGGGGCCTCACCTGCTCTCTGCTGGTCTGCGAAGCCCCAGCTTCCCTGGGAGACTGGAGTCACCCCCAGGAGCCTCGGGCCAGCCCTTTCGGGCCAACACTGCCCTGTGCGCTCTGCAGGGGCAGTGCGGTGCCCCGCTCTGACCCAGCCCTACCTCCAGCACGTTCCAGAGCCGGGAGTGGGCTTCCTGTGGGGCGGAGGTCCCTCAGGGAGGGTGGAAGAGGGATGGGGGGACGAGAGTCTTCAGGCCGGGGGCCCCTTCCCACTCTTCCCTGACACGGGCTGTGGGGTCTTTGAGCTCCCCTCTCCCAGGAGAGTCTCAGAACCAGTCAGCCTCCACGACCTGAGAAGGAAGCCTTAGGTGACACATTCTCTGGGGAAGCATGGAAGACACCAGCTGCCCGGAGGGCCCCAGGGTGGACCTGGGGAAGGATCTGACTGGTGAGCAGTCTGAACTGCTCGAGTCAAGGCTGCCAGCTGAGGGCCTTGGTTGGGCCCTTCTGGCCTCAGTATCCCGCCAGACTCAGGCCCTTGTTTGTTGCCTGCTGTCCTGGGCCAGCAGCACCAGAGATGGGGTTTGGGGCTAGTCCCTGACCTTGCCTGCTGACAGTTTACCCCCACACACAGGATGCGGGAAGCTTCTTCTCGCCCCAAGCGGGAATACAAGCCCAAGCCCCAGGAACCTTTCGACCTCGGAGAGCCAGAGCAGTCCAATGGGGGCTTCCCCTGCACCACAGCCCCCAAGATCACAGGTACTGACTGTGGAGGGGCCCATCGCCCCAAGGCCCCTGGGGTCACTCCCAGCCACTGCCCCAGGCAGACGTGGGCAGGGCGCCTACCCTGGCACGGGCAAACCACCGCTCTTGTCTCCCACAGCGTCGTCGTCTTTCCGTTCTTCAGACAAGCCCATCCGGACCCCCAGCCGCAGTATGCGTGAGTGCTCCCAGCCTCAGTTTGTGACACAGCCTTCTAGTCTGTTCCAGAAGGGTCTTCCTCCTCTTCCCCTTCTCTAGAAGAACTGGACACCACTGTGGTTGGGCCTGTTGAATAAGGGAGGAACTGACCAGGCCTCAGCCTCCCTGTGAGCCGGGAGCACAGCTCTCGCTCCTGTGCACCTTCCCCCAACTGGCTCTCCAGATGGCATCTGAGGCTTGTAGCTTTCAGTCATCCTGGGTGACACTGGTGGCCGAGGGTACTTTCGTAACCGCTTAAGAGCCAGCTCTGTCCCATCTGTCATTTGCTCCTTCTGAGTAACCGAAGGGAGCAACAGGAATGGGGAAGCAGTTCTTCGGGGGGGACCAAGGGTCAGTGAAGCCTTAGGACTAGGTGGGCCCCGGGCCAGGCCCCAGCCGACACCAGAAGGGCAGGCGGGGGCAGCGAGGGGCCCCGGAGGTCTGAGCTGATCCCAGAGCTGGCGCGAACGTGCTAGCCCCGTCCTTACCTCCGGTGTCTCGCCGTCTCCGCAGCTCCCCTGGACCAGCCGAGCTGCAAGGCCCTGTATGACTTCGAGCCTGAGAATGACGGGGAGCTGGGCTTCCGCGAGGGCGACATCATCACGCTGACCAACCAGATCGATGAGAACTGGTACGAGGGCATGCTCCACGGCCAGTCCGGCTTCTTCCCCCTCAGCTACGTGGAGGTGCTGGTGCCCCTGCCACAGTGACCGCAGCGGCCCAGCCCCTCCGTCCAGTCCTGCCCTGCATTCCCCGTGGGCTGCCGGCGGCACGCACCCTGCCGTGAGGCAGAGCTGTGCAGGGCGGCTGTGGAGGCCGTCCTGGGGTCCGAGGAGGCGAGGGCTTTGTTTACACACGCTCGCCTGGTGGTGGGCGCCCTGTCCCCACGCCATGGCCCTGGGCAGTGTTCCTCCTTCCTTGTGCTCAGACTCCTCCTGCCGTCCGCGGCTGGCCCAGGGGCTAACACTAAGGTGCTCTTACAAACACTAACCCTCCGCACGGGGCTGCCGGCTCCAGGTGGCCCCCACCCCGTCTCTCTCTCTCTCTCACACACACACATTGTTAAAGGGAGGGGACTGCGTGTCTGTATGATGGGGTGGCCCAGGGGACCCTACCAGGACTCCCCACCCTGCCCTAAACCCCCACACCATTTCCTTCCCAGCCTGTTGCTGGCGATGGGCCCCACCTTGACTCCGGGGCTCCCCAGGCCCCTGCACACACACAGCTGCCACCTCACTGAGAGCCATTCCCCTCCCCTCAGACCTGGGGAGAGGGCCTGGGGACCGCGGGCCAGCTCACCCTCAAGAGCACTTGGGCCACACACACCCACTCCTCTTGCCCTCAGTTCTTCCAGTGGGCTCCCCGATCCAGCCCTGCCTAGGGGGGCTTCTCTCAGGCGTAGGCTGCCACACCGGCTGCTTGCACCACAGACACGCACACATGGGACCAGGGGAGCGCCCCAGCCTCTGCTCTTTGAAGGTCAAGTGCAAAGGCTTTCATGCGTGAATGCCATGGACCCTGGCTTGTGGGGCGTCCCCACCCCAAGCCAGCCGCCACCGCCCCAGCCATTCCCACCCGAACAAGGCAGGGAACAGCCCAGCAACAGGGCCCCAGCCCCAAGCTGCTTCTCTTGCCTGACCCAAAAATTGGTTAAATGGGAGGACTTTGCCTGGTTCACATTCCCCCTCTCCAGTGACCCCACAAAACCCCCAGGACACCAGGCTGCACTCACCCCTGAGCCTCCCCTCATCACCATTACTCAGGGGAGGCTAAGACCAGCAGCCCCGGTCATAGTCTAGACCAGATGGATATGTAATTCTGACTTTTTTAAGAAGTATTAAATGTCTCTTTCTATAGCCTCTCGCCTGGTTGTGGAGTGGGGTGGACATTCCCCCACCTGCCCAGACTCGGGGTCCCTGGTCGGGACAGCCACATGGCCTCCCACCGTCCAGCGGGCTGGGGGGAGTGGTGACTGTCGCTTGCCCGGGCTGCCCTGCAGGTAGCCCGTCCGCACGGCCCTGTCCTCATCCTCTCTCACACCCCTGGAGTCCCTCCCCTGCAGGCGGGGCTGCGCCTGCTCCCTGCCCAGACACAGACCGAGGCCTGCTGCGTGTCTCCTTTATTGTCTGGGCCCTACCGTCACAGGCCGAGTCCCAGGGAGGGCGCCGCACATCCACCAACAGCCCTGGACCTGTCCTCGCTGGTCCGGCAGCAGGGTCCGGGTGCCCAGAGTCTGACAGTCCCCGCTCTGCCGGGCCCTCGGTTAGTTGCCTTGCTTGAGGATGCTGTAAACTTGCTCCAGCACGTGGCACAGACCCTGGTCCTTGGGTGTCCTGCTGGCGAGGGAGATCTGAAACCAGCAGAGCCAGGCCTCAGCACTGCACACGGCGGCGCTCTGTGCTCTCTCCATGCTGACCACTGCCGCCCACCCCCACAGCAGCCCCACTGTGGTGTGGGGCGTGTCCCCAGATCCTGCCCCCCACCAGCCCAGCGCTGAGTGGAAACTAATCCTGGTCAGTTTAAGTTTAAACAAAAGAAGCAAACACTGAAACTACATTTTTCGGCTAAGCAGAACTGAGAATGACTTTGAAACAGAAAACAGACACAAGAAGCCTCCACGTCTTAGCCAAATACCCAGCTGGTTGAAACGTGCGGCAGGCAAGCTGGGGGAGCACATTTGCACGCTGCACTTCGACCACCTTTGCTGCCCTTCAGGCTCTGAAGCAGATCCGGCCTGCTGCGCCCTCCCAGGTAGCACCGGAGGAAACCGGTCAGCCCCGCACGCCAGGGTCGCCCGGTTTTTATGTCCCTCTGCATTTCGAGGGTGACCTTGACCGCCATCACCACCCCTGTGTGGCCAGACAAGGCTTTTTTGTGGCAGTTACCTTCTGACTGAAACACACTGGTTCAGGACAAATTGGGGGTCACTTTCTCAGCCTACGCATGGCTGTGTTCCTCGGGGCTCCCCAAGAATTGCCTCTCTGCAGGAGAGTGAGTCTCACCTTGAGCTTGTCGAGGTAGCTATGCTCCTGGTTCCAGGGCTCCTGGAACTTCACGAGGTCAGGGGCACCCTTATAGAACTCCACCAGCAGCATCTGGGGGAAGGGGTGGGCACCTCTCGCTCTACCCATCCTGCACCAGCAGGGAATGCCAGGCCAGGGCAGGCAGAGAGGACCCAGCAGACAGACCACCGGGGAGTGCCACCCTGAGGGAGGGCGCGACCGACATGGTTCTTTATCCACCAGGCCTGACGCCACTTCCTGGTCCAGCGTCCAGGGACAGTCAGACCGGTTAAGTCAGAGGCGTGACAGACTAGCTCCTTTGTTAAATGCCTGTTGAATCACAGGTATTAATGTTCGTCCAGGTAACACTTAGAGTTCGCTCATGTGTCTCCGCTGGGAGAGTGAGTGGCAGCTGCAGAGGCCAGAGGCTGGAGCACACCTGGCAGGTCCCGAACAGCAGGGAGGCCAGGGAGCGGGAGACAGGAGGGCCCGGGGCAAAGCTGGAGCCTGAGCCACCGGGAAGAGGACTGTGGCCAGGGCACTGATGTGGCCCCTTCAGCCGTGGCCGCTAGAGTCCCAGGAAGCCTCAGCTGTCCCTCCCCCCCTGAAGCCCCAACCCACCCACCCGGGAATGAGCTCACCATCTCGTGAAGGATGTCATTGGTCAGGAAGCTGTCCTGGATGTAGGCCATCTCCACATCCATGGGGATGCCATAGTCACTGGGTCTTTGCTGCCAGGGACACGAGCTGGTCACCACAGCCACCCAGCCTACACCCCAGGACGGTAGGGGCCGCAGCGGGTCCTCCAGGCCTTGCTGGACACAGGGTCGAAGGCGCCGAGCCTGGGGCCTTAGTGGAGCACAGCGGGGCAACTAGGGGCAGGATGGCTCCCCACTCCCGCAGGGAGGTGAGACAGAGCCCTGACCCTGAAATTTCTGCCCAGAGCTGGTTTCTGGCCCTTGGGGAGACATCAAGGTTCAGGAGGGCCCACTTGGTAGCAAGCAGCCTGCTGGCTGTGGAGGGCCCCCCTCAGCATGCACCCCGGTCCTCAGAGCCTCTGATGGGCCAGTCGGGTGTCCACTTGGCAGATGGCAGGCCCTGACGGCAGGCTGCAGCTCTGTCACTGTCAACAAGACCTCGTGGCCCCGCCCCCCCCCAAACTCTGTCCCAGCCTCCCTCGGCAGCCTCCCCACCTACCTCAGGGGGCGGCATCACCCAGAAGGGTGAGATCTTGGACTCTGGGCCCGGGTTGCCAGAGTAGTAAGGGGCTGCAGGAGGACAGAGAGAAGGGGGCTGGGCCTGGGGCTCGAGGGCTGAGGGCAGGCCGAGGGCCGCCCCGGGCCCGAGCCAGGACTTACAGCAGAGCAGGGCTAGGCAGGGCTGGAAGCCGTTGCTGGAGCCCTGCAGCCGCAGCTGGTAGTCCATCTGCGCGTCGATGTCCTGCAGCGAGGGCAGCGCCGGGCTGTGCGGGTGGCTGTGGTACCAGCCGACCAGGGACAGGCCCCGCAGCAGCAGGCTCTGGTAGATCTGGGGGCAGGCGCTAGGCTGAGGCGGGCGGGACAGGGGTCCCCAGCCCAGGTCTGCCCACCCCACTCTGACCCCACTGGCACCCCCAACCCCCACACCCGGTATTTAACGAGTGCCCCGTAACCAGGCACGGGCACACCTCAGTGACCAGAGAGAGACCTGGCATCTAGCCCGGTGCCAGGCAGTAAGCGCTGGTAGGAAAGCTCATTAGGAGGGGAGCGAGGGCTCTTCGGCCTCCTAGCCGGTACCAGGCGCTGTCAACCGAGGCCCAGAGAGCAGGCGCTGGCCACTCGCCGGCCACTCGCCGCGCAGGGCAGGGCGGGAGGGAGCCCCGGCCACGGGCGCAAAGGTGCAGGGCGGCGCTCTCACACCTGCACACTCGCGAGCGTGGCGCTCGAGGCCCTGACGCGGTGTCACCCGCCCGCCCCAAAAAGCCCTGTCCCGGGCAGCCCCTCACCTCCTCCTCGATGGCGGCGGCTGTTTCGCAGTCCCCGAGCCGGCTCCGGCACGGGAAGGCCCTCAGCACCGTGAGCACTGCAAAGGCGCGAGAAGGCATGGCGGGTCTGCAGCCCCAAACCCCCTCAGCACCAGGCCCCAGATACCCACTCTGGCTGTTGATGTCCCAGCGGCCCCCAAGGTAGCCCACAACCTCACTTCGGGTCAGGTGGCTGTGGAAGTCCTGGTGTGGGGGGACATAGGGAGACCAGCTCAGGCTGCGTGCCACGTGCAGAGGGCAGCCCCCTCCCTGTAAACGCTGAGGGCTGTTTACTGGGGGCCCCTGCCTCAGGGGGTTCGTATTTCAGGGACCCCCCACCCTGGACTGCCCCCTCCCAGGCCGTGAGCACACACCAGCAGGAACAGCACATTGCTGGACATGGCCACGTTGAATGGCTGGAACTTGTTGATGGCAGCGAAGGATGTTACTTCTACCAGAGTGTGGGGGTTCCTAGAGGAGCAGGAGGGTCCCACAGTCTCAGGACCCCTTGGGCCCATCCCTCACCCCTCAGCTGCCTCCCCAGCCCGGATAGCCAGCTCAGGGGATCTGAGGCCCATCCCCACCCTGCCCTTGCTCCCCCCACACTGACAAGAGCTCTGTGAAAAGGGGGTGCAGGGGAGCTGGCTCAGGCTGTCTCACCTGCTGGAGTCCCGGCTTCCCAGCATGCAGTAGCGGACAGGAGCCCGGACCTTGTTTTCCAGCCGCTTCCCTGGAAGCATGGCCTCTGGGGGCGCGGGCGGGGGCAAGAGGCCGCATGGCATCAGTCCCTCCCCAGCCCAGAACTGCAGCTTGCGGAGGGCACAGTGCAGGGGAGCAGAGCCCCAAGGGCAGCCTGCGATGAGGATGGGCCTGACCATAGGGGGGCCAGGGAGCCTGGCAGCTGCCTCACAAGCGGCAGGGGGCTGATACGGAAGGGCTGGGGCCGCGGAGCCGTGCAGTTGGGAAAACCAGGCAATTCGGAAGTAAGACTTGGCCACAGGGCAAAGAAGCCGAACGGGGGAGCCAGGAAGTCGGGCTGAGAGACCCAGGCCCGCGCTTATGGGGCCAGGAGGGGAGCGGAGGGAGGAGGCCAGAGCAGACCCTGCCCCAGCTTCTTCCCCACCCACGTTCTGCGGGAGCCCTGTGGGCCCTGTGCTGTGCTCATCACCGCTCATCACCCCTCACCGGCATGGGGCGCCTCCGGGGGGCCCTTCGGCAGTGCTCGCCGCCCCCTGTCCTCCGACGAGACGCCTGCCAGAACCTCCTCCTCCTCTTCATCCATCAGCAGCTCTTCCTCTTCCCCTTCGCTGGCGGGGCTCTAGGGGGTGGGGGTCAGCGACCGGACCCTCAGCGGGGGGCCTCCATTCTCCCCTAGGCCTCAGCTCCTGCTCCACTCCAGGCGTCCACTAGGGGGAGGGCGAGAGCCCAGGCGGCCCAAGGCTCTGGCAGCCCGGCCCGGCTCCTGCCTGCTGCTGCAGTTTGAATCCTGCTCCTGCCTCGGAACTCCCTTCTGGCGAGCAGCTGAGCTCCCCTTGGTCAGAGGGCGCACTGGCCTGAGCACCCTGAGCCCCTAGATGGCGTCAGAGTGAATGAGACCATGTGTGCAAGGCCTTTACAACCGCCTGCTGTTCCATCCATTGAGCCTGAAAAGGCTTTGCCTGAATTATTTTATTAACGTCTTAATAACCTCCTTTGGGCCTCCCTGGCGGCACAAGGTGTTAGGGCGCAGCATTATCCTCCGAAGTCTGCAAAATAACTTCGATCCCCAGCCAGGGAGTGACCCACAAGGCGCAGACCTCTCCTGACCTGCACTGCCCCCCTCAGCAGCGACTTCAGTGGATCCACCTGTTCTGCTCCCCACTCTGACTCTGATGAACCCTCTTATCTCCCTACCCCCGCACCTCTGGCTTGCACCCCAGCTCTTATATGCACAAATAAATCAATCTTTAAAAAAAAAAAATAACAACCTTCCTGCTCTCTGGTAAACTGTTCTTGCTGGGGCAACTCCTCTGTCCAGACTCTGTGGTCACAAATGAATCTGCCCTCACCCCCCGGAACCGCCTTCACGACCCAGGCATTCTCAGCTCCCCGCCTTCCCCCTCAGCTTGTCCCTCTCCGCCCCTAAATGCCCTGGGGCCTCTCCCCTCCCCACTCTGACCCCAGGAGGCCTCTGCCATTGTCCGTTCACCTCAGCAGAGGGCAGCAGCGTCCCTCCGCTGGCTCTGAAGAAAACCTCTTAACCCCACATCTCACCCATCAGCAGATCCTGCCAGTTACCCAGCACATGCCCTTTCTTGGCCCTCAGAGGCCTCATCCACTTCATCATTGCTCCCTAAGCCTGCCCTAGTTCCCACGGAGTGAGCAAGCGGGGAAGAAGGAGGTAAAGGGCTCCCACCTACTTGACAACCCCAGGCCAGCACTGCTCCCGCACCCTCCTTGTCCTCACTCCTTTCTCTCCCACCTCACTTGGCTTCAGCTGTTCCCTCACTGCGCCTCCAGCCTCCCACGCCCCCTGGCTGCCTGCCCTGACCCACCTGCCCATGCACAGGGCTTCCTAGCTGTCCGCAGGGCTCCCTCCCCCCACTTCAGTTCGCAAGCGTCACCCCAGTGACCCAACCCCCAGTCCCCACCCTGCACGCTGCCTCTAACATACCACAACATGGGCCTATTTTCTTTGTCTCTCCCCATGATGGAGATTTTTCTCTTTTTGCTTTCTGCTTTATCCCCAGCACCACGCTCAGGGCCTGGCATAGAATTGGCACTATTTAATAAACACTTGCTGACTGAAAAACCCAACATCACATGAAGGTTAGTCTTACGCATCAGCTTGGCTGGGCTCTAGGACTTAGCCCAGCACTAGTGTAGGGGCTTCTGATAAGGCTTCTGCTGGTATCTATAGTCACCTGTCAATAAAGATTACCCTGGATCGGGCCTGTCTGGTGGCCTAGGGCTTAAGTCTCAGCGCTACCCCAGCCACAGACCACCACAGTGGCCCAAGTTTGATCCCCGGCCAAGGAGGTGACCCACATGGCGCAGCAGACCTCTCCTCTCTCCCCACTGCTCCCCATTCTGTCTCTGGTGAATCCTCTCATGCCCTGCACCTCTGGCCTGTAGCCAATTCCTATATGCATAAATAAATCTTTTTTAAAAATTGTTTTTCATATAAGAGTTGGGGTGCAGGCCAGAGGTGTGGGGGCACGTCAGAGGCTTCACCAGAGACAGAGTGGGGAGCAGAACAGGCAGAGTGATGAAGTATAATGCTGAGGGGAGCAGCTGGGAGACAGGAGCGGTCTGCCGCGCCATGTGGGTCACTCCCTGGCAGGGGATTGAACCAGTGTTGCAGTGACTGTGGACAGCTTCATAGTGCTGTGCCACCAGGAAGGGCCCTAAATAAAATCTTTTTTAAAAACAGATAATATGGGTAGAACTTGATAATATGGGTAGATCTTATTCAATCAGTTGAAGGGCCTGAAGAGTGAAAACAAACTTCTCAGACAAGGAGCCCAGCCTTCGACCACGGTCCACTCTGGCCTGAGGCTCCGGATCGCCAGTGGCCTGCGCATTTCAGACTGCAACCAACCGCGTCTGTCTCACACAGGTAATACCGTCATCTCCATTTTAGTTATGAACAAGACTGAGGCGAGTCCAGGCCAAGTTCACCTCGACGGTGACTATCCAGGGATGATGGCACCCCATCCAAGGCCCTTCTAGAGGCCCTCCCTGGTGGCACAGCGGCGGAAGCACTGTGATGCTCGCCACAGCGGCTTTAGTGTGAGTCCAATCCCTGGCCAGGGAGGGACCCCCAGGGCGCAGCAGACCTCTCCTGTCGCCCCACTGCTCCCCTCAGCAGTGTATCTCAGGGGATCCATCTGTCCTCTCAACACTCCTGCACCTTCTGTATGCATAAATAAAAAAATTTAAAAAAAAAAAAAAAAAAGACTTTCCTAGACCTGATCATTGCTAATGTGCCCAGTTCCCTCAGGTCTCCCCAACACCTGAAGCCCAGCTGTACCTGCTGGTCGTGTGTCCGGAATAGCATGTGCTGCTTTATCTTGTCTCCCCTTTATCTTGCTCTGACAGGCTCCTGCCCATCCCTCAAAGCTCCGGCTCCAGCACCCTCTCCCTGGCCCATCCCTGGCAGAGCGCTATCCAGCTGGTGAGCCCGGGAGGGTTTGCATTGGGGTGCTGAAGGACGCACCTCGTCAGCGGCGGCTGCAGGCACGTGCAGCTGGTGTCGCCGGAGCCAGGCGGCCTTGTACTTGTCCAGCTTCTGGCCCTTATACTTGACGGAGGCCCAGCCACAGCCCGACTTCTTGGCAGGGTTCACCAGCTTCTTGCAGTGGGTGGCCCAGGCGCTGGGGGAGTTGAATACTTGCCCTGTTTCCTGCCACACGATTCTCCCATCCGGCTGCAGATCCCCCATGAACTTCTTCCCCTGTATCAAGAGCAGGCAGGCTGGACCAGGAGCTGGTCCGGGCCCCTCCTCCAGGAAGTTCTCCCTGATTGCACTACCTGGGCTTCTAGGAAGCCTCCAGCACCTGTATGCCCACTCCACATCCCTGATCCTGACCATTCCTAAATGGTCCATATGTCTTTGTCCTCTCACTGGACTGCGAGACCCCTAAGGACAGGGTCCGCCTTGACCTCAGCTATGATCTGAACACCCACAGACAGCTTGGCATACAGCCGTTGCTCAACTCACAAATCTTCATTCACAAGGCCAGCCACAGTAATAGCAGCCCGCACCCTGCAGAACGCTTCATTTGCTTAATCCTCAGCCCCAGGGGAGAGGGAAAAAGTACCATCTCACAACGGGGAGACAGCTCGGAGGGAGAGAGCGCGAGGTCACCCCGCCAAGCAGGCAGCCGGCTCCTCCGACTGCGTTTTCCCTTTGTGGAGCGCCGAGCTGGGTGCATGGCCTTTGGGACCCACAGGGGCTGGCTCTGGGTCTGGTTGCTGGGGCTCCGCTCCCTTCCCCACTCCAGGCCTGCTGCCTGCAGGGCGTACGCGCCTCGCTTTCCCGCTCCTGCCCTGTGCAAAGGGATGGGGGGTCGGAGGTTGCTCACCAGGTAGTAGATGGACAGGACCCCGGCACCCGGCTCCAGCAGCGCGTCCTTGAGCAGCACCCGCAGCGTCACCGCGCGCCTGGTGAGCGAGCCCCCCGGGCCTCCGAAGAGCCCCGGCGCGGACCCCGGCCCGG